CGGGAACTGAATAGCAAAAACTAAAGAGGGCGAAGGATTGAAAGAGGCGGGCTACTGTTACTGTCGAGGTTTAGGGTTTTGCTTGTGCTTGTCTTCCAATTTGCCCTGTAAGAAGGTGAGGAAGAAGTAGAGTAGGCGCGAGAGCGAGGGAGGGCGACGCTGGCGACGAGCCGCTATGCCCGTTTGTTTCTCCTGTCCCCAGTGTTTTTTTTCAACTTGTTAGTGCGCGTGCCCGGCCGATTGAATAACCCTTGCTCGGGATCTGCAGTTCGGCCCAGGCTAGCCCTAGTGGCCCAGTTTAAGTTTTAATGGGCCAAAAAAAGAAACATAGCTTGATTTAATTAATAAATATCCAGTTCTTTAAATTTGTCTTCATTTTGATTTTAGTCCATCAATTTCAATTTATAAGTTTTAGTCCCTCAAGGCAAAATGGTCCAAATTTTCATTAGATTATAGAGACCAGTATTTTAAATAAAAAACTTTGAGAGATCAAAACCTATTATTTAAAACTTGATGGGCTAAAACCAAAATAGAATAAATTTGATGAATGAAAGTTTGTATTACTTTAATTTTCTTTTTTTTTGGGCCAGCTCATGATTCAATAATTAGACTAGACTATATCGCCCATGTTTAAATCCAACCATTTATTCATCATGGGTGGCCCAAAAAAGAACCGTTTATCCATGGGGGTAAGGGGGGGGCCATTTATCCATGGCTCGAAGAATGAGAGGGGGCCATGCTCCCGCAAAATATAAAGCAGCTTACGCAACTACATAATAGTATGATTTGATATAATTTTATACTAAGTTACTCTATAATTTATAATTATATACCAGCCTCCGGACTAATATAATATCCTGTTTGATTTTTTATTTTGGTCTTAATATAAGACCCCAATTCACTATCTCTCTCTCATAGTATATATTTTTTTTTCAATCACCCCTCTATAATGAGTCTAGTCAATACACTTATTATAAGATATTTTAGGAAAGACAACACCTATTTAGAACAAATAACAACTCAACTTACTTCCTTAATCTCTCAAATTATCAACTGTTCTTATAATTAAGACCGGAAGTAGTATTATTTTTATTCCCGAGAATTTGACTGATCTATTTTTAAAAATAAATCATCAACACACGGATGCTTTAACATAAAACTAATAATTGGAAATTAATCAATGATTTGAATCATCGGTATCAATCATTTTATCTTAAATTGTGCTAACATCTATCTTTTAAATTTATTTATCATCATGTGATCTTTCAATTTTATTTTTTTGCTCTTTCGTTTACTTTATTTCAATAAAGCCAATCAATTAATTTTATCTCTAGAATACTCGTAACCGCATTTTACTTTTATTGACAAATTCAACTAGTTGCTGGCTGCTATATGATAAATAAATCTAACTAGACTGGACACTGCGTCATCGCACTAGATTTTCCAGCCTTTTTTCCGAAAAGAAACGAAATGGACACAGAATTGATGTTACACCGTACTCATCGAGGAAATAAAAATTGGACATGAAAGAAAATTGTCCATCATTTTTCCTGTACTCTGAACTTTCTTCTGCAACCATTCTAGATCGTCTATACAAATTCAATCCCCATTAATTAATTAGAAAACTAATGAATCGATAAGCATACAAACTACATGGAAGAATTTCTTCAAGGGGTCCCCTGCGACCCATTTGGTGGTGGCTTAGTTTGGGTCATTTCTCACCGGAAAAAGAATCGCTACATACATTCCAACAGTGTGAATTTTCAAAGCTTTCAACACCAGTCCCTAAAGAGCAAACACACTGGCACTAAATTAAACTCACCAAATTGTGGCCGTAGAAGAAGCCCTTTCATAAGGAAGATTTGGAGAAGAAGCGGGTAAAATTAGTGTTCTTTGTCACGTCTAGACTCTTCCTTGTCTCCCCGGTTTCTAGGCTTTGATGGGTTTACCTTGGCATGTGTAGAACGTTCTGATTGAGAAAACAGAATCAAATATGCATCAGGACAGTAACCACCGTCAGACCCAGAGCTAAAAATGCAACGCCCTTCCAGGATGATAGGAATGAAGACCATCGGAGGAACTTTACAGCCCCAGCAATAACCAGACAAGCCCAAGAGGTTACAACCTGCTCCCAAGTCCCAGCGTAAATGCGATAGTTATGCAAACTTAAGCATACTGAATGTAAGATAAGGATAATTAAGAAATAGGATCATGAGCTAGACGTCTTGAGAGGGTATTACCAGAAGAGACTTTAGTGGTCTGCCAATATTTTGCAGCTCTTGATCAGGAAAGGTATCCTCAGCTATATGTCTGTCTAACAATGCATCCTGAGGTGCCCAGGGCAGAACAAGCAAAATGAATGAGACGGCAAAGCACTCGCACACCAGGAATGAGGGAAGAGAAGTATGCAACAAAACGAGAGGAACAAGTCCACAAGTTGAGACGGTCATTTGACGTGCACAAAAAAATTTAGCTCAATTTCAACACGCACCTTAGCCACAAATATATCTCGACACCACTGCGCAACAGCTTCCTCTGTTTCAGGCATTTCCTTCATTAAATGCCGTTTGATATGCACATGCACCTGCCAGGTGAAAATTGGGAACTTTGTTTGGCTTAATGAGAATATGCAAAGCGTCCTTAATATCACAATTAATTATAAATATGGTGGGAGAGGAAAGGAGAGGGCAGGGGGAATTTAGACTCTAAAACCCAGGTTTGATGGCTTTACCACTGAAGGTTGCCCCTTGAAGAGTCTTAGCATTGTAGGAGCTGATGAACTTTTAGGGATAGCCACCGTCACATCATAAATGACAGGAACAAATGAGCGCATATGACTTACTGCGGAAACAAAACCCTGAGAGCAAGATAATAGAATAAATAATTATCTGCAAGCCACAAAGAAGAGCAGTGAAGCCCTAGCACGCTGGTGCCAAACTTACAGTTAGTCAGACTGCATATATCGCTTGTTTAGATTTAGAACAAAGAAGTAAGCAACAATCCACCGGAATACTATAGAGAAAATAAGACCCCACGGTTGGGATGATGGGGGATAAGAGAAGATAACTGTTTGAAATTCACCTTTGTTCGAGGAATCAAAACATTTCTAGGAACAGGCAATCCTGATGAGGTTGCATATTCCTGAGCAGCTAATAGCTTTGCCTGTGTGAAACGAGTTCCTTCAACAAAGAGAGCCAACCAAAAGGGAAGAGGGAAATCCCTAAGGAGTTCAAGACCTGACTGCATATACATCTCAAGATTCAATTGGCATTCAAAAACATAATTAACAAAGGCATACACGCAAAAGAGAAAGAACTATCACAACAATTTTAATATCTTGGTGCATAGGTATGATTTATGAGCAAGTCTACATTAAAAAGTACAATTATTAATATTTTAGTAACAAATACCTTTAATGTGCTTTCATCCTTGGCCCAACTTCTCTCTAGAAAAAGATATTCAGAGAACCACATGGACCAGCCAATGACCTATAAGTAGAAATTAGCAGTTATATCAAAATTGAAGGTATAAATGAGATGTCATATGGAGAAATTGCTAATGCTTTATATTTTGAAGCATGAATGGTTTGAAATAATTCCAACTAATGAGAAACCCTTTTTATTTTTTGGGTTTCTTCCAGCTTAAAAAATGAATTCAGAATGGTTGTAATAAACCAAAAGGTCAAATAAAAGAATGATTATACAATTATCATTCTGGAGACATGAACATAAGTCCAATGTATAAGAGAATTCAGGGTGTTGAAGTCATCAGATATGCAAGGTCACAGTAACTAGCATTTAGTTTGTGTGCCCGTGAGTGTGTGTAGAGTAAATCCTTCAAACATATATAACATAACGCAAACCTGGATAAGATTCAATCCAGAATTTCTAAAACTCATCTAGTGTCGCCAAAACAGTCAAAAAATTTATTGGGCTATCCAGCAAATCTCATCTTACAATAGTTCCACGTTAACCCTCACTATATTCTCCCAATACTTGCCCTACAGGATCAATCACTGCCCACACATCCTTTTGCGGGATGGTTAGTCAACATGGCCTACTCATGAACATTTTAATCATTTGATCTTGCAACCCTAAACCTAAAGGAAGTAGACATTCGAGCATATTAATAAGTCGCCATTAAAGTAAAGGATGTAGAGAGTGTTGCGTTTGGATAACACGTTTGGAGCCAAAAGGACTTTGTTCGTGTTTGGTTTCAGTCTAACAAAAATAGAAATAAATATTAACAGAGGAAAGAGGATAGAAAAAAGGAAGAAAAGGGTGAGGAACAGCAAAGAAAAATAGAAGAGGAAGAACTGGGGAAGAAGACCAAAAATCATAACTTTTTACTCCCTCATCTATGAAAAGCTAACCTAGCCATCAAGGTTTTATATAGAGTGCAAGAGATAACTGCTGCTAAGATAAAAAGGATAATTATGATCTTCGCAGAAGGATAATATAAGGCTTAAAAAAGCTAATTAAAACCCCACGAAAAGATAATTAAATTCAAAATAGAGCCAATTAACCCAGAAGCTTTAGTGAGTGATTGCTCTTTGATAAATTCAATATAATCTCCAAAAGACCATTTGATAAACCAGACCAGCAAACAGACCATGCCACTAATAACCAATCCTTATTAAAACACCAATTCTCTATTGCTTCGTTTCATACTTTGATATCAGTTTTATCTAACACCTAGAATTAAATGGTTAAACCATAACCAGTAAATGACAAGAACCTTCCATCTTGTCATTTGAAAACCGTGAAAAACATGTGACAACAAAGCATACCGGAAGACGTTTTGAAGATTTCTTCATCACAGCCAGAGTGCTGCCAAGGCAACCTGAACGCTGTTAAATAATGACATTCAAAAATCAATCATCAGTTAAAGTACAAAAATCAAACCAGATAGGTCACTAGACACAACATGCGAACCAAATAGCATATATGCATATTGGTCAGAAGCCACTACCCATCTCTACACAATAAATGCATTTGAAGAGGAGCTAATTTAATAATTTACTAGCATGTAGATATGAAAAGATCATACGAGATAAGGCATTCACCTCAGCTAAAACCCATCCAACAAGCCAATCAATATCACTTTTGTGATTGGATATGACAAGCGCATGTTCTTTACCTGGAAAATCCACATCAGAATCATATTCTTTAGATGCAAACAATTTATTGGCACTTAAGTGTTTTCTTTTTCACTACAAAACAAATTCTTGCACGCATAAGTAAAAACTAGTACAGGCACCTCTGGGGATGGGGGTGATACCTTGCATCACATGCATGGGTCAACAAGAGACTTACCCATTAAATGAAATGTTTCTCGATCTGTAAATAGTTGGACCTGAAGACATGCCGGACAAGTCATTAAATTGCAGATCAGATATCACGTCTTTTACATTCAAAAATCCTTTTCTTTGTCAAAATCAGGTTTTCAAAATTGCAACAAACTTTGAAATGGTTAGATTGTTCCTTAAATTTCATAAATCAAGAATAAAAGAATATCCATTAGCCGCCTAGACAATTCAGCTTCCATTTAAGGAAACTAACTGCAAGGAGCACCAAAATGAAAAGTTCCTAAATCTTTCCATGGCCCAAATATTTGGGTCTAACTGCTAAACTAACAAAAAGACCTAAATTGCCACACAATATTCAAGAATCGGCCACAAGCTATAATGTTTTATTTTTTGTATTGGTGCTGATCAGGTGCAAATGTGATTGACTCACTAAATATTCACAACAATTCCAATGCCATGTCTGGAATACAGACTAACACAAAACAAAAGCAAAAGCACAGGGCAGGAATCTAACTGGTGAACTGACAGTTAAACTTTTCAGCATCAGAGTCGAGAGTGAAAACTGCTTAAATACCTTAACTCCAGCCCACCAATCTATCAGCCATATGAGTTCCAGCCACAACAATTCTGCGACTAGCCTATTGATCCGTCTATACAAATTCTTTGACACAGGCCGTATAAGTACATAGCATATTGCCTGAAGCAAAGGAAATCAATAGGTCAAATTGATTATACACTGAAAAGAACTAAAAATCTTTCTTACATCTTTTTCACTCTTTGGTTAGCATTTTGATTTAAATTCTCTAAAAATATGTAAACCTTTATTCAAGCAAGAGAAAAATTAGAATATTATCTTTGTGCATCTAGTTTACGTTCATTGTGAACAGAGTGATGAAATTGTCATCTAACACTTCCAGTTCACCATTAGAAATTTCTACCCATTCATGCAATGAGTTTTAAGAAAATTCAGAGAGTTCCCTTATGCTCTAAGTAAATGAAAATCAAGCAAGTGAATGTAAGACCTCCCTTCAGGAGTTACTGTGCAGGCCGATACCAATTTGATGCAATGATTCCACTGTATTAACCTATCCCTTCATGTTATGCATCACCAGACATTCGATTGATATTGGCACAATAAACCTAGATACCGGGGTCAGCCTCAAATGCATATTACTTCACAGTTAGATTGAATCCGAATTTTATCATCCATATTCAATTCTGCATTTAAGGTGGGTACATAGATAGATATATGTAAAGAAAGAGTGCGAGAAAGAGACAGTCTTCTAATTTATGTATATGCTTAGTGATGCTAACTACAATATAATATGTGTTACAGGTTGGTTAATCAAAGCAGAAAATGCTGAGGACCTAGGAATATGGCAAGGATTTGCAAGGATTCCTGGCATTGTGCATTTAAACGGTGAAGGCTCATAAAGCAGCAGAGCACCGTTTTGATAAGCAGCATTTCCTCGGTCTATAATGGACTCTGTCTGCAGCTATGGATGGTAATTAAGATTGAGGTGTTACGACACCGAGTCCAATTCGGGTGAGTAGATAATAGTGGGCAAAATCTTTCACCAGCTAAGTCTAAGATGAGCAATGGCTATGAACGTTTTGAGGTACACAATCTAAGAACAGTGGATAATCTTGCACTAACCCAACGTATTGAAAGTTCCAACTAGAGTTTAACTCTCCGGTCTCATCCTTTTGCACGTTGGTAACAGAGGAAAAGTTGCAGAGCATGAAATACGTTTTTTCGTCAGTGCTCTCCAGCAGCCAATAAACTACGGTCTAAAGAAGTGGGGAGGATAACACAGGGAATGGTTTTTGCGTATACCAGCGGAGGAGATGAAAAGGGTATAGGAGCAAAGAGAGGTCTGGTGATAAATGAAGTATAACCACATATAGATTTACACGCAACCCCGATGGCTACTCCTGGAAAACAAACCTCCGTGATTCAGATAAAAGCATTTGTACCCTTCGAGAAGTCACTACAAAGTACAAATACTCGAATAGCAGACCGATCAAGTTAAGCTCGTACTACAGCTAAAACGAAAAACATCGTGATCGGCCAAGATAACATAAATAAAGCAAGTTAACACTGTAGAAGTTTACCCAGGCAAAAATAATAATAAAGCAAATGGAAAGGCGGAAACCAGTTAACCCCCGTGGGGGGGGGGGTTCAAAATAAAATCAAATTATTAATATGAATGAATGCGAAGATTCGGAAAATCACGAGGGTTAACCTGAATGAGATTAACAACGAGGCCGGAGGCAAAGAAAAGCAGACCCAATGGCACGATGACAGCTGCAGCCGCAGCCATGGCCACACACACACGCACCCTCCGTTTTCCGACAGAAAGAATGAGAGATTCAGAAAAAGGAAAGGAGCACAGCGAGCGATAGAGAAAGAAATAGAGATGCAGGAGCAATTAAATATGGATTAAGGTGAGAATGGCTGAACATCGAAGTTGCGTGCCTTGGGTGACATTGATAATTGATCTATATGTCTCCCTCTTTCACTGCGCGAGTATGAAATTAAATTATGAACTCTAGCCCATAGCAGCCTGTGTTCACCACTTCAGGGAAACGGAGACACTGCGCTTTTCCGATTAGGGCTTTCTTTATTTCCTTTATCAGAAAGAAAAATAACTGTCTGCTTTTTGCTTCGCCCCAGTTTATTTAATTTTTTGAGTAAATCTTTTTGAAAAGAAATCAGCAAACTGTGTTTTTTTTAGCACTATTTTGATTTTACTTCAATTTTATTTAATTCTATTAACAGCGTATATAATTATTTAATACTGAAGTCCTTGTAAATATAATTAAATAATTAATGCTATTGATGCGAATTAAATTTAAAAAAAAAAAGCAACTGTCAACACATACAGTTTGACCGGAAGGAACTCTGGTTTATATCATAATTATGCAGTGTTGAATGAAATACTACCTAAGATCCACCCAATGAATGCAGTGTATTATAATACAAAGGATCATAGCGTGATATATTTATAAGTTGAGCGATATAATCTGCTTTTTCAATATATTAGCTCTGATACTTAATATTACATCTGATTCTTAATATAAAACCTTGTTTAATTTTGATTTTGGTCCTAAATATAAAATTCTAATCACTTTGTCTTTCATATTTATGTATTTTTTCAAGATAGTCCTTATAATAATGGTAGTTTAAGCCAATACACTTGATTAGTAAGGATATTTTAGGAAAAACAACATCTATTTATTACAAATAATTAACTTAACTTATTTCCTTAATTTTCTCAAATTAGTCAACTAGCTTTTATAATTAGGACCGGCGGTAGCATAAGAACTAGTTAAAAATTAAATTTAATTTTAAATATAAAATATCAACTTATTTTGTCTCTTGAATTTCTAATTCATTATTTAAAGTATTCTAATTAATTACACATATCAATAAGTCTCGATTGAGGAGTAGTAATAATTAAAAGTAACACTTTAGTAAAATCAAATCATATTTGTTATAAATAAATAACTTAACTGATTTTTTAAATTTATTTAAATTAGTTAAATAATTTTTACATTAAAGACGGGAGTGATATATTATAGTTTGAAGGTCATAAAAAATATTATAGTAAATAGATTTGAACTTATACCTTGTCTAGTATAATGGAAGAGTTTTTGATGGACGTGGAAGTAGAAGTGAAATTGGAAATGGAAGTGGGTTCTAAAACATGTTTTGGTATGAGAGTGGAAGTGGGGTATAATTTTTAATTAAAATATATATTTATATTGTAAAAATACTAAAATACCCTCAATAGGAGGAAAAAAAAATCCCCCCCGTCACGACCATCCACTCGCGCATCACCACCGGTGTTCACTGGAAAGAAATCGTCCATTGCTGGTGATAGTTCATCAACCATTAAACAATTAATCCAAACTCAATCATCAATCCAATAAATATATAAATCAAATCCAAATACAAATATCAGCCATCAACACACAAAAATTTCTGATCACTGTCATTCATTATTCGTCTTCACCCAAAACAGCGATGCCCCAAGACCGCTGTCAACCTCCGGCAGCCATGGAGGATGATTACAAGAAACTGAACCCCATAAACAAGAAATCAAACCAAATCAAGCAATAGAAAAGGAAATCAGATACTAGAATAAAAAATAGTCTTCTTCTTCCTTGCGCTTTCCAATTCAACCAACGAAGATAATGATAAAATTTTTCCACGATCCAAGCTGAACTTGAACCAGAAACAACAATTTCCAGACCTCCGCAACTAGATCTAACTTTCCACAAGATCTAATTTCAACCCAAGCAAGAAAAAAAAATCCCGCCAATGAATGTCGTCACCTATCCGAGAATGAAATTGAAATCGAAGTACTTGGAAGTTTCTTCTCATTGCATCCTTCTCTGATTTAAAATCAAAATCAAAGCACTTGGAAGCTTGGAGGTTGCCGCGAATGAGCACCGTTACCGTCGCGAATAAGCATCGTTACCGTCATAGGTGAAGGTCGTAGCCACCGCGAGTGAATGTTGTTACCTCACCATTGCCGTCACGGATGAAGGTTGTCGCCAGGGAACCTTGAAAGTGGAATCTCAAAGGTTGTTCGACTGAAAGCTTCAAGGGTAAAAAGGGAAAATAAAATGGGTTCCATGGAAGTGTAGTCAGTTCCCCGGGCTGGGCATGGAACTGAGTTCCATCATTTTTTATGGAAGTGGGTTCCTTGAAGAAGTGGGTTCCACGGTACCAAGCAAGCAAAAATCATGATTCCACTTCCACTTCCAATTCTTCAGACTCAGTTCCAGCACACCAAACGGGGCATTAGAAGTTTCGTTCAATTTTTTCGGTGCCGGGGCTGGGACGGATCAAGTTATACAGGAAATTCGCGTCCGCTCGTTGCTGGGTCCACCTGCGATGTGAAAGTCAGCTTCTGAGCGTGATCATCCTCGTTGGGCCAGTGTCGTTTTATTACTCGAAAACGAAACAGCCGGCAAACAAAAATGCACAGGTGGCTGGCAAATTTTCTCCCATGTGTTTCTCTCGGACCACCCATTGTTCACATCCGTTGGCTTCTGCGTATTCGTGGTTTGGCATGCTGATTTGAAAGACAGTAAGATTAGTTTCTTTCACTGGATTGAATCTCATTGATAATTTTGTTGGTTTTTGCTTTGTAAATAGAAAATTTGGGGAGTGTTTGAATAAAAACAAAATTATAGTTTTAAAAATATTTTTATGATATACAAAATAAATATATAAAAAGAATTATCTCAATTTGAAAAAAAAATTGTTCTAAAAAATGCTTTTGGGTTATGCAAATAGCAGATGTGAGTGTTGTCAATCCATCTGTCCAACGTTATCGGGCAGCTCCTTTCTTTTATCGTTTGGGTATCCTGCATAATCCTGACACGGTGACACCCGTGTTAGGATTTCATTAATGTATTATGATTGATTAATTGTGATGTTGAATAGATTACACAGGGTAGCCGATTTGCATCAATCACCATAGGTTTGGAATGGACCTCATCCATTATAATCCGGACCGTGATCATGTTGTTGATGATACTACGTGCAGTATTTAAAATAATAATTCGTTTGATTTTTATTTTGGTCATAAGTATAAAATTTTAATCCATTTTATTTATTATATTAATTTTTTTAGTAGTCCATATAATAATAATAGTTATAATCAACACACTTAATTAGTAAAGATGTTTTAAGAAATAAAACACCTATTTATTACAAATAACCAACGTAACTGATTTTTTTAATGCATTCAAATTAGTTAACTAACTATTGTATTAATGATTGGAGATAATATATATATGTATGCATATATACATACGTAATGTGAATTGGATTTTCTCCTATCACTTACTAGATGAAGAGAATTCATACTATCTCTGATCCTTAATATAAGATCTCATTTGACTTTTATTTTGACCATAAATATAAGATCCCAATCCTTTTTGTCTCTTATATTTGTTAATTTTTCCAAGATAGTCCTTATAATAGTGATAATTCTAGCCAACAAACTTGATTAGCTAGGATATTTTAGGAAAGACAACACCTATTTATTACAAATAATTAATTTAACTTATTTCCTTAATTTACTCAAATTAATCAACTAACTTTTATATTTAAGATCAAGAGTAGTATAACCCAAGTACTAAAGTTTATTTGGAAAGTAAGTTTATATTGTTTATATTAACTGAGATAGAACTACTCTCACATATTTATTTTATATTTTATAAATCATGATTAAAAAACTGTTTTTAAATGATCATATTGCCGCTCTAAACAAGTCTTATTCTTTGAGTCTCCTTCCATCTCCCGCCAAATTTTATCTTCTCTTCTTACTGGCATCCTCTGTAAACCTGAAGTCTGTTTTCCCTAGTTTTCCAATCAGATATACCTGAAATGGAATTCACACATCCGTTTTTAATAATGGGTTTGGCCAGGTATGATGAACAAGTGATGACCTGGAGTGGGATATACGTAATAAAGACAACATCATTAAAGATAAAAATGATTAAAAATGAGTTTAGAACGAGTTAAAAACTTAAGAATTAAGTTATACTAAGTCAAAAATTAAAAGAATCGAGTTTTAAGTAAGTTACAGTCTTTATTTTTAACGAATCAAATATTCAAGAATTAAAAATTAAATTTTCTATTTAAATGAAATATAATTGATTGAGTATCAATAAAAAGAATTCTGGCAAAAAGAAAAAAGAGAATACAATTAAATTAAAAAATATATAATTATCAATAAGTCTCAATAACAGCTTAAACAGTTTGTAATGGCAAGTTTATACGTAAAAAATGATAACTTTTAACTTATTATTGGGATTTATTGATAGTTATTTTTTTATTGGGATTTTATCGTAAATTTTCAAAAAAAAAGAATAACAAAAAATTGCAAAAAAAAATTGAAAATAAAAAAATTATAATTTACGATATTAGTATGGCCGTTTACAATAATTAATAAGTAAATGATAATAATTTTTATAAATAAATTCCTAGGAAACTGGAAAAGTCTATTATTCATCTAAAATAATCAAATCTGCGTTCCCTTCTCCGCCTCCACACCTCGCATTTGCAATGAGCCTCTCACTCCTCACACTCGATCCCTTGATTGGTTCCACCTCTCTCAGGGCCAGCGAAATACACCGCAGGCCTCCTATTCCTCGCCGGGGCATTGTCCTTTGCTCTGCGAAGCCCCTGGTGTCCGCTCCCAGCGCGGCTGATTCTTCTTCCATTGTTGATGGGCTGAGTCGAATCGGGTCCCTCAGTCAGGTATCCGGTGTTTTGGGTAGCCAGTGGGGCGATGAGGGTAAAGGTAAGCTCGTGGATATCCTTGCCCACCACTTCGATATCGTTGCTCGTTGTCAGGTAATGAACACATTTTGCTGCGCTGTTGTTTTTTTCCCTTTCAAGAAAGATATTTGGTTGGATGAAACTTGAGTGGTTATTCCCAAAATTTATTTGAGGTGGATTCTGCTCAAGTCTTAGATGCTAGCTGAAGGGAGACTGGGTTCCGCCCCAGTCCTTAGAAAGTCTTGACTTTTAGTAAATGACTCTGTTTGTATGATGGCTTTAACCAGGACCGTAGAGTCATTCTCAACCTCTAGCTTTTTCTTAATCCATTGCTTGTAACAGAGCAGCGGTTCGTTAGAGCAATGCCACAACTCTGCCGTAATCACCTTGCATGAATCGATATTGTACAGAAGCCGCTCTTCCGCTTACCATCACTATTTCTGATTTTCTGATTAAACCACCACATTCAGATTGTTATCCTGACAGTTGACTTTCCAAGTTCAATTTGCCCAATCCTTCTTTCAGGATAGTCCACTAAGCTCTGCGTGCTGGGCCATTATCTCTCAAGATTCATCTCTTCCTCTATTCTGCTCTTTTCCGCAATGAAACTTTTAGTTTTTAGAACTGTCCTGTAAGGTAGCCGGAAGGTATCATCGAATATTGCCTTAGACAACTCTTTGAGTTACCATCCAATTATGCTCGTAGTTTTAGAATGACCAATCTAACACGATAGACTAGAAAAGCAAGGTTTTAGAAGAGTGAAAAAAATAAAACAAAAGATGAGATCTCACACAATTGGAGCAAACACTCAAATTATTTAATTAACCTCAAATCTCTCTCAACTAACTTGTTGTGTGCCGCATTGTAGCAATTTAATCTATGACCATGCGACATTGTATGGAAAAATTTCTTGTTTTGCTTGTCCTCTTCAACCATCATTTAGGCACCAATAATCTTCCTAATCATCGTTAAGAGGTAAATAATTATAATTCTAAGAAGAAAATCCCTGCATGTGAGTTTTAAACTTCAAGTTTAGGTGCCAATCTACCCTTTATGGATTGATTCCTTTAAGTTTGGGGTTTGGATATGTTGTTTAACTTGCAAGTCATATTCCCCATAATGTTTCTGGTTATTTGCATTAATTACTCCAATTACCCTTCAGCCTATGTTGTGAAGACCTGGCCACCCTCATTATTTTTATCATCAAGAGACCTTAAATTAGTAGGACGTAGGACAGTGAACATATTGATTGATTAACCTTCTTGTTAAGTGGTGGGGTATTCTTGCTAACTTCTTTTAGCCACTTTCATACCCTCTTGTTTATTATGCTTTTTTGTAGAATTAAATTGCAAGTTATATTCCCTTGATGATATGTGATCATTAATTCATTGTACATCATCAGGGTGGAGCCAACGCTGGGCATACCATTTATAATGCTGAAGGAAAAAAATTTGGTCTTCATCTTGTTCCTTCTGGTATACTTAACGAGGATACATTGTGTGTTATTGGGAATGGGGTTGTAGTGCACCTCCCACAGTTTTTTAAAGAAATTGATGGCTTAGAATCCAATGGGGTCTCCTGCAAGGGAAGAATACTGATATCTGATCGTGCTCACTTGTTGTTTGATTTTCACCAAGTAATTGATGGACTAAGAGAGGCTGAGCTCGCTAAATCTTTTATTGGAACTACCAAGAGAGGCATTGGACCCTGTTATTCTAGCAAGGTTATCCGTAATGGCATTAGAGTAAGTGATTTGAAGTATATGGATACTTTTCCTCAGAAGCTTGATCTTTTGTTATCAGATGCGGCATTAAGGTTCAAAGATTTTAACTGTAGCCCGGACGTTCTCAGGGAAGAAGTTGAAAGGTACAAGAGATATGCTGAGAGATTGGAACCCTTCATTGCCGATACTGTACATTTCATGAATGAAGCTATAGGACAAAAGAAGAAGATTCTTGTTGAAGGGGGTCAGGCAACAATGTTGGACATAGATTTTGGAACTTATCCCTTTGTAACTTCATCCAGTCCATCAGCAGGTGGGATTTGTACTGGTCTAGGTATTGCTCCAAGAGTTATTGGTGATCTGATTGGTGTGGTACGTGATTATTTGGATTGTTTTGTTTCATTGTAGTTGTCGATGATCTAATCTGACTTTATATTAATTAATAATTCAATCAATGAGAAACATATGCATATCCATTCTGTTTTTGCTGCTTATTTCCAAAGCTTCTTTTACCTGAAGAATTTTCTGGTGTTTTCTGTTTTATATATCCAGTTTTAAGAACTCTTAACAAGACCCGGCCAAATAGTATTATCAAAGTGCACGTACAGAGCTTTATTAGGATGGAGACAATATTTTCTTAATATTATTTTACTTTGCAGGTCAAATCGTACACTACAAGGGTTGGTTCTGGTCCTTTTCCCACTGAAATCTTGGGTCAGGAGGGTGATCTCCTTAGATTTGCTGGGCAGGAGTTTGGCACAACTACTGGTCGTCCTAGACGCTGTGGTTGGCTTGATGTAGTTGCATTAAGATATTGCTGTCAGATCAATGGGTTTTCATCACTCAATCTCACCAAACTGGATGTTTTGTCAGATTTTGCTGAAATTAAATTGGGTGTGTCTTATAAACACGTTGATGGTACACAGATCAAGTCATTCCCTTCAGATCTCCGTCTTCTAGACCAATTGAAGGTAAACTTTCATTAACGTCAATGAAATCAGTTGCATGAGAATTCTGTGATGTCAAAGTAATTTTTATATGAATTTTGTATGTTGCAGGTGGAGTATGAGGTACTTCCAGGGTGGAAGTGTGATGTTTCTTCCATCAGAAACTATGCTGAACTTCCAAGAGCTGCACGCCAGTATGTGGAAAGAATAGAAGAACTTCTTGGCGTGCCAATTCACTACATTGGTGTTGGACCCGGGCGTGATGCTCTGATTTATAAATAAGTTGGTCATAATTTCTCGCCAATTTCCTATATGACTTCCATGTGCCTATAGCCACAAGAACAAGACAAAGCTTTTGGCAGTAGACTTGCAACTACTTATTTCAGCTAACTTTGGAAGATTTGGACGAGAACTAGCATGAAGTAAGGATCATCTGCTTCATGTATTTATTATGTTGTCCATCAGCAATAACACTTGGACTTGTATGTTAGAACTTTCTGGTTTGGGTAGCAATTGTATGTTGTGGATGGAGTATAAGTACCTTCAGTGATATTTTTTCCACCAGAAACTAGTGCTTCGAGCTTCAAAGAGCTGCACGCCATTTTGTGGAAAGGATTGAAGAACTTGCTGCTGTACCCATTCATTACATTGATGTTGGGCCTTTATGTGGTGCCTTCATTTTTAAATAAGTTGAAAGCACTTTCTACCCAAATTTCCATGTTCCTATAGCCAAGGGCAAAAGGAAGGCTTCTGGTTGTAACATTTCAATTATTTTTGACATCCACATAATTCTGAAGTGTGTAATATTTTTGTTTCTCTGAATTCTTGAGTGTAACATCATTTAAATACTACAAACTGCATTCCATCTCAAGACTTAAATATCTGTTAATTACTAAATAGTACTTTTCGTCTTGTGTGTGTGTGTGTGTGTGTGTGTGAACATAATTTTTAGGGGACAGACGCAGAGAGAGAGCGGGGGGGGGGGGGGGAGAGAGAACCTATAAAGAGAAAGCTCTAATTGTGGAGGCAATTTGTTGGCGCAGCCTTGTTTGATGTTTCTATCTTGCGTCCCTGACATTCTGAGCTTCCCAGGCACTAGGAAGAGACGATTGTGTCTCGCTGGAACAATTCGTCTCAATTAAAGGTAACTCTGATTAATTCATTCATGTTCTGTTATTTAAGTATTTGCAGCTTAAGTAATCAGGTGAATAAGAGATTGTGACTTTCAGAGGCTTCTATGTTGTCTATATACAATGCGTATCATCATCTGGCATACCTTGAACGAAACTAATAAATGTCTCAATGCGTTGCAGTTGGACGCTACTTTCCTCGCACCTCTCAAAGGACGCTAGAAAGTTAAGAACTGTTCCCTGCTTTCATGATAGATATATTGATTGATTTAATGATATTTAAGCACTAGCTATTAATGTGCATAATCTTTGGGGAGAAAGGCCTTATTAGCAGGACTATAGCGATCTCTTTTAATCATTGCTTCATATGATTATGCTACTGGAGTTTTTCTTGTCTACACCTTTTAGCTAACAATCAGGCTTTTATCATTAACCATTTGATGAAATGATGGACATGTGCCAAAAGTCATGTAAGTTTGACTGAGTCTCCTCAAAAGTGGAGGTAAACAAATTTTAGAACTGCAAATTTTTTTTTCAGTCACAAAAATAGCATAATAAAAAGACAAATTACGGTAGCATTAGCATAATGATAAACCTGTCTCTCCATTTTCTGTTACTATCACTACTAAAGAAGCTCCTTTCTCCTTCTAGCAGAGTTTTATACTAAACTACCACCATCTACTACGTGCAAACGACTTGTTAGGGTAATATTTATGTCAAAAAGAGTTAGAAATGAACTATTGTCTCGGAAGATTAGTGTTCAGCCCTCAAAATATGCCCATCAAGACATGAAGTTTCAAACAACAACACTTATGTTACCATATTCATTCCTATCTTGTACTGTATCCACATCAATCTCCATGCTTCCCATCTTCTAACCTACCGGAGGTCTGTGAATGAATAGTGGTAGTAGAACCAGAAACATCTCATTTATTGATTAGCTCGACTACTGAATACTTACTGCTGATATTTCACTATATTTCAACTCCTCTAGAAGCTAGAAAAAGTAGTTCTATTTCTTGAAAAAGAAAAAAGACTAGCTGATTCTCTTAGAAGTTCCAAATCGAAGTGGTGAAAGTAAGCTCTTCATTTATGTCATACGCTTGAAATTGGGTTGCCTCTGATCCTTGATTATCTGCAACTGCATGCATCTCCATTAATTCCTCCCAATTGACACTCTTGTCAGAACATTCACCAAAATTATCAGTGAAATCATTTGATAAAACTTCAGACTTTGTGGAACTTCCCGACTGTTTTTCATCCTTCAGCACTCCCATCTGTTGAAGAAACTCATGGAGGTCAATCTGGGGTTTGTCCTGAATATCACTAAACACACTTTCTGACGATGTTTTAGCTTCTTTTTCGTTTGAAGGATTGTCTGCATTATGCTTGCTTCCTATAATCTGAACTTCAGCCTTTGGATCACAGGATGAACTAGAGGGAGTGTGACTTGGAACTCCATTCTGCTTGAGTTGTTGTAGCTTTTGGTGGATTACATGAACACTAGGTTGAGCATTAACGTTGAGCAATCCACGAGAAGGGAACATTGAAATGAAATTCTTGGAAGGAAACCATTTAAACTTTTGAGATTTAATGGCGGAGCTGGAGGTGGGTTGAAGGTGGGGAAGATTAAGGTAAGCATCTGGACCATAGAGTCTCCTCGCCGCTTCATCATAAGCCATGGCAGCTTCTTCAGCTGTGGCAAAAGAACCAAGCCAGAGCCTAGTTCTCTTCTTCGGCTCTCTGATCTCAGCAACCCATTTTCCCCACGTTCTCTGACGAACACCTCGATACTCGCACATAGCATTCTGAGGGCCACCTTTCCCCCTGCTTGGTCCTTTCTTCCATGGCTTTAAGGGAGACTTTCTGCAAGAATCCATGGCTGATTTTGACTAGAGCTCGATAAGGATAGGTTATAAGGTATCTGTTAGAACTGACTGAGGAGAGCGAGAAAGGCGCGGGATTTGTAGGGAGCGGGAGAGGAGTTCATTATAAATGTTGTCACGTTTAGAGAAGTAACAAAGCTCATGTGACCGTTAGTGAGGCTTGAGTCAGAATTTTCAAATCTTGAATTATTAATGAATAATGGGGTTCATTTTGGTCTGAAACTTCATGCTTGCAGCACGTGTTTGATGATATGTATAGTCTGATCATTTCCTTAAGTTACAAGTCAACAGTATCGTCGTTAGACAGCACACATTCTCAGTTGAGAAGTGAAACTCCCCCAAGTATGCTTTTTCTCAACGATATGCCTAAAGCTTGAACCTAACGAATTATGACTTCGTTAAAAAGAATGATCAAAACTATGAAATTAATGGGAACAATATAGAAAGAAAATATTAAACAAGAGAGGCAAAATTGATCAAGACTTTATACTTGGGTCCACATTATATTTATCAACAATGGGATGAAATAGTTGCACAAGTAAGGGAGTGAGTGCATTGAATGAAGTGTGGGAATATGAACCTCGGATTCTACATATAAACGACAGGAGTTGAAGTAGAAGTGCAGAAAAAGAAGAATGATGATAAAGGAGAAAGGGCACCTCAACATTTGGTGATTTCACGGGCTATATTTCACATGTTTTCTTCGTCATTCTGAGCCTCTTTCACGGGCCCATCTTCACCTATATCCCATGCTTATGCTTCCCCTCTCTGCCATTTCGATATTTTTGAATTACTATTTTATATCGTGAAGCCTGCATATGCCATGTTTCATGCTGACGATTGCGGTGATTCGGGTGAGTTTAAAATTTTGGGAGAGAATGACAACTAAGAATCTCACAACAAAATTAATACTAAATTAGGATTTCTTCACAATATAAGTTCTCAAATTCAGCGCTCATTTTCTTATATTTTAACACAAAAAATCTTAATGTGATATTAAATTGCTTATATTTTAGACTCGATTTTTTTCCCTTTTCTTCACTGGAAAACATATAAATAAATTTATCCCCTTTGGGTCCTGATTCTATAACTTTTTTTTTTTTGGACTGACTGACTCTATAACTCTATTGCTTTATTTTTCCTTAAAAATCTTACCGACAAAATGGGGGACTGTCAATATTAGTTAACTTAATGGTTGTAACATTTTTTCTCCATTTTAAAAACTTCATTACATATACATATACACACACTTTTCACTTAAAAAATTGTGTTAGATAAATATGGTGAAATATCGCATGGGTACATTTGCACTTTTTTTTTTATGAGCTAACATTTTAATAATACTCCCCAGCCCCTGCTAGAAGCTATTAACTTATTTGTCAAGCGAAGCTCCTTACGTTAAACTTCTAGCATTCCTTTGAATATGTTTTTGATTAAAAAGGAAAAGAATATTCAAAGGCAATATGTGACATTGTCACGTGACGTAACGTGGTTGGACTAAAGCGTAACAACGTGTAACGTCGTCGTGCTGGACGGTTGGCATCAATGTTCTAATCAGTTGGTTGGGCGTATGGTGTGGGCAGCATGCCACGATTGCAATTTGTACTCCAAGACTTCTTCATGTACCTAACAATCTCCCACCCTTTCTTTTGCAAATACCCGCGCACATCATTCTTCATTTATAAGATTATGTATCTATCTGAGCATGCAGATAACTTTAAAAATGTGATAATATGTAAAATTACTTTTTCTTTTTCACATTCATTTTAAAAATCTAGATCGTCATTCTTCCTATGCAAATAATAAATAAGGAATCAGTCATATGCATTGTATTTCTGACTAAAATTACCACATATTTTTATGAGTGCATAAAAATAAAGTAAAATATGCACAACTGAATAGATTTGCTGATGATTTTTCAATGAATTTGTCGGACCTAATAATTCCAAGCACTGTTTTAATTTTTTTTTTAAGGATAAGGTTTGGTTTAGAGTTCGAGTTCTTCCGTTAAAATAAAAGAAGACAAAAGAAATCACTAGAAAAAGATTAAAAAAAGAAATACTGTGTCGGCGTGTCTGTTTTTTCACTAATTTGTCCAAATAATGCCAACGATTACCAATGCCAATATGACAAAAATACAAAGTTCCTATTCCTCCCTGTCCTCTCATAACGAAAAGGGACAAATATATGAAGTCCCACTAATCAAAACCGGACGAAGCCTTGAGGATGGCAAAATGTTAAAAAAAGTGACCGTTTGGGGCTTCTTCTGCCAACCCCGCATCAATTAGGAATTGGCCATCCAGATCGAATCAGTCCTGAACCTTTATTCGATTTTTTTAATACCGGCACAAGAATACATGGAATTGAGCAGCATTACAAAAAAACATCGACGAGATCTCTCTCTGAAAAGTGAAAACCACTGAGATTTTCCAACAATGATCGTTACAGAAACGAGAGTCAACTCTGGATATGGGCAAGCAAGAACGCGATTTAAACCCCGAAGTTGATATCCCGACAAATTGATAGAAAATAGCAGTCCCGAATAGTTAAAGGATCAACTCTTACAATTAATTAATTACACGCGAAGATTATTCATCATAAATGCAAATCTGAGAACACAAAAATGTCCAGGTCTCTTGAAGACCCAATCATAAGATCAGTGATCAGGCCGAAAAGCCAGACGAATTTACAGCAAGAGGAAGAAGAAAGGTCCGGAAAAATCTACCTGGTTGTGCGGACGAGGGAATTGAAGATGCGCGAGAGAGCGAATCTCACGCGAGGATAAGCTCTAATGGTGTAGGTGGTGGTCTCTCGCAAGAAGTCCTCGATGGTCCGAACGAAGAGATTGAAGTTTCGGATCGGAGGGACGTAGATGGTGAGAGGCACGGCGGAAAAGGCAACAGCGAACAGAAGTTGCAGCATTTCTGAACAGCGATGCGATCAACACGGAGATGAGGAGAGAAACGTCGCGAAAAGTTAGCGCAAAATGTGTGGACTACTTGGGCGGCGGCCGATTCCCAAATCGGAATCTCCGAACAAGTCTATTTATTTTCCCATGAGAAGAACAAGAGCCTGAAAGAGAGAATGGCAATATTTGGCCGAAGAATCTGAGTAGGGTTGACTTGAATGGTAGATTAGGGAGATTGTTAGATATCTATATAACATAAGGAGGTGTTTGGCAACAAGTAAAAATATTCTTAAAAGATATTTCTTTTCCGTAAAATGAAACAAAATTTTTTTTATATTTAGAAAGTGTTTGAATGAAAATAAAATCATAGTTTTAAAAGTATTTTTATGATAATAAAAGTGTCTTTTTCACATATTTATTTTGTATATTATAAAAATATTTTTAAAATTATAGTATGATTTCTATCCAAACAATCCTTAAATACAAAATTCAGAATAAATAATTATATTATGTAAGCGACAAATAATTTTTAATACTATTTCTGAACATGAAGGGAGTTCTGGTAAAACCTGCCAGGGAAAAAAGTGCATTAGATGATTTAGATTTTTTTTTTGGTTTTAAAAAATAAGATGTAAAATAAAGTTTTTGACAAGAGGGTGAATGATGCTGGGTACAAGTACAAGGATGAGATTGTGCCAAGTAGAGATAATGGGGTCCTGCGAGTAATGAATAGGAGGCAGGCGGGTGGGTGTGAAGAGAAGAGCTGAAAAAAGATTTGTTGGATTTGGTGCAATGCAATAATTAAATTAAAATTCAATTTTTTTTTTGGACCAGAAAATTAAAATTCAATTGAGAAACGTAGAATGCAAAGTGAAAAAGAATAGTTGTGGGGAAGGCTCATCAATTAAATGAGCTTTTAAGTCCCAGGGATACGCATGAAAATGAAACAGCAAGGTTTAGTGGGTTTTTCCCCCATTATTTCGCCCTGGTGCAAACTTCTGGGAGTTGGGAGACGCTTTGATCCAATACCAAGGCCTGATCACCAGGCTTATGCATTCTTTACATATAAATTATTTTTTGCATAAATTCCTAATAATATAATTCGAGGTAAGGAATTCAATTGAGCAGATGACTTTATTTAAAATTAATTTAAGAAATATAATAGTTGTGAAAAGCAAAATGAAATTTCACTCTCAGTCAAAATCAGTTTCTCATGACTTCAAATAAATCAAGTGAATTTGTGATGTATGATGTAAGCATCTGAGATGAAATGAGTTCTGCCTAAAAATTACAATTTTTTTTTAAAAAATTACTGCTAAGGTCAACCATAATCAATTTGGCATAAACTAGTATATTTTACTAACTTGCTTTTTTAATTAGAAAAACATGCACAATTTATCAGAAATTATAAACAGATTGAACACAGACCTTTCTACTTATAGAAGACTTTTCACAAACGAGATTGGCCATTAGGCTTTCACTCGTGTTTTCATGTTCCGGGCAAAAACCATGATTCGTTTTTTCCCGCCAACCAAAAGCCAAAATTCTAAAATCTAGTTAATACCCTTGTATGCTCTACCAGTTCATCAAAATACTGATGTAGCGATAACTCTTTAAACATAAGATTTATTAATTATTTTAAAAAAAATTGTGCAAGATCAACCTGATCATATCATATATGTGCATATATACATACAAGTTTTTTTTTAATTAATTGTGTAAAACCAACGTGGTAATATCATATGCATGTATATATAAGTTTCAGTTATACATATAAGTTTTTTTTTTAATTAATTGTTAATCACGTTGACATTCGTCCTAAATATAAGTTGTTTTACTTATGAGGGTTAGTTTAATTTTAAATATAAGATTACCTTTTCTCCTTTTTCACATTAATTTGTCCTCATTTAGGAAATTTTTATTTCTGCACATTAAGTTCTAATCATTAAATGGTCAAGGTATTTTTGAAAAAAAAATTAACCTCAATTTTCTACCTATTAATTACAAATAACCACAAGTTCCCTAAATTTACAACGCAAAACCTTAACACCCTGAATCCTAAATTCTGAAATTGTCTACCAAGCCTAGCTCTTTAAAAGATTTTTCATTAGCATGTACACTGGTGAATTACGTCAATTGAACAAGTGCTCAAATTGACCCGGCAGTGCAGGATATCAGATAACTATAATACATTAAACAAAAAAAAGAAAAGAAAAGAAAAGAGAAGAGAAGAAATAATCATATAGGATAAGGAAAAGACAAGCAGTACCGCCGTTCTTCTGTAAATCTAGGTAGAAGATATGCACGATAACAACTTTCTGCATAGCTGTCGTATCTCAGGTGAAGGATCTGATAACGATATCGTTGAGAGCACAGACCTTGCTTCCAATAGTCCCCCTGATATGCTTTCCAAAATTACATCTTCACTGGCCATGAGAGCTGCCATTAGCTTCGCACCTACCATTCTTTCCTGTTGAAATTTCATAATGCATTAGAAAGCATGTTTGTAAACATAACGACAACTTGAAAAATCAGGACTATCATAATATTATCGACTGTCTGATTACAGATTAGTTTGCATGGTATAGGTAATTGAAGAAATATATACACAAGGGGAAAAGGTGTGGAACAAATGGACAAATGAAGATCATAATATTTTACTAGTGTGAATAACAATAGAATCAATAATAAATGTTCAGAAACATATTATTTGCGCTACAAACTCTCTTGCCACAACTCATAGACACCAAGCACAACCAATGTACCTGATACATGAAGCACGATAATAGCAACGGGTGAATAAACCACATTATCAAGAGACTAGAGTAATAATACCTTCTCCGATTCATTTCTCAGAAATCTCAGTGAGACTTTGAAAAGCTGAGATGCATAAGGAAGAACTGCCGGTCCTAGATGATAGACTGCAGAAAATAAGACCTGGATGCACGCTGCTCTAACCTCTGACTTCATTTTAGACTGTTCAAAACATACCAATTTCGTGAAACAAGCAGATATGAAGGAAAAATTTCAATGAGTACTCCATGCTACTCGCATATATCATCATATAATAATAGTAAATATGTGAAAATACCTCGACAGAATGAAGGAGAGGCGGAAGAACAAGTGCTGCAAATTGATTAGTGCAAGATTTTGGGACCTTCTGACAAGCACTAATAAGAACATTAGCCATGCACAAACGAAAAGGGAGAGGAACAGCAGCTGCAGATGCATAGTTGTCATTATCCAACTCAGAAGCTGGATTAAGATCCTTCTTGTCATGTATGAGATGACCGATCACATAAGTGCCAACAGAAAACCTTAATGCAGAACCTACATATTTGAGTAGAAGTCACATTTTTTGGCAAAAGTTCTTTGCATAAACTAAAATAAAATTCATATCAATACATCGTTCCTTCTCAAAAGCCATAGTCTTACCAGAGACATGGTTTCTAATTGATTCCTCAGCTTGTAGATCAGCACATAACATTAGTGCTAGACAATCAATGCATCCATGTTGTGCTTTTGAAACTGTGGGAAAATCATGACCGTAAAAAATAGTTTGAAATGAAGGGAAACATGCAAGAACAACTTAGAAACTACATGGTTGCTGACCTGAATCAGCATCAAGACTTGGCCACAACAACACTGTTTCAATCATCTTTTTAATAATGAACATAGTAGGATGAGAAAAAGACTCCCAACCTCTGACCTATAAACCCAAAGAAACCAAGTGATTTGGAATCGATTTTACCATAAACTGAATCAGACTTGACCAAAGCAGAACATGATAATGCACCATTTGCGATAGCAGTTAGTTACCATAAGCGATGTACAGATTGAAAGTAAACAAGCCTTTATCTTCAGTATATTTTTAGCATCGACAGCCTGCTCTAACTTGGAGCAGAGAACTGGGAATAATACCTGTGAACAAAATGACTCGTACATGTTAGTATTTTCCCAGAATTGTACAGAATTAAGATAAGCAACACAGCTGCTAAAGTAAACATGGTAAACCCAAAATCTCAGTTAGAAATATACCCATACCCTCCCAACACCCCTGCATCAACACTGACTCACAACCAAAGGTCAAAGATTGAAAACATAGAAGGTACATATTTCAGGAAACCCAAGATGTACCCATACGGCCATACCCGGTAGGGCAATACCAAAGATTTACTCAATGCTTCATATAGTCAAAACCTATCAGAAATCAGATTCAACTAAAACCGTTTTTATTATGATAATTATAAATCTAATAACAATTGCAAACAAAATATTTAATAAATGGCAGCTTTCTTTTCTTTTTCCCCCACGGGCAGGGGAGAGGAAATTTCTCAGGTATAAATTACTAATGCCTTCCCAAAATTTGAATCTTATAATCTATTTTATGAAAAAAGTCATTTCTGATTACTTGGGGGTGAATGCGTCCACAAAGCTCAGCAGCAAGCTTCCGAACATCTTCAAACTCAAAGTCACAAAATGCCCTAAAACAATTAGATAAAAGATCAAAATAAAAGGGAGAATATCAAGTTTTTACATAATTACTGGAGTAAGATGAACGCTAGGTTCAAGAACGAACCTGCTGAGAAGCAGAGCAGCAATACACTCATAACCAACCTCAATGTCCCTGGTCCCTAAATTTACATCAAATGAGTAAAAAAAATCAAATAAATAAATCAAGTCTTCTAATAACTCCACAAGAAAAATGAATATGCGAAGAAAAAGGGGAAAACTCAACCTCCAGTCAAACAGACACACACGCCAAAAAGAAAAAGAAAGAAAAGAAAAGAATTATATCGTCTTCTACTTGAATTATTTCCTACCAAAATAATATAATAGCTGCAAGTAAATAATCTAATCAGATGCATCCGGGAACATTAAGCAAAAGGAAGAGAACTTCCAAACTAAGAAGTGAGAGGGGTAGCATTAAGCAATCAACAATTCATCCATCTATGGAGATTATAAAAAATTAGCACAGCATTCAATCACAGTTATTGGAGATCAGATTTCAAATGGGAGAACTCGTAAGATCAAAATAAAGAGGAACCACTGGGCCAGATAAGCTTTATGTTCAAATTTTGGTTAAGCAAGAAGAGAGGAACTAAAAATGGTTTCTGCGTCTTCAGTCAACTAGCACACTGCTAAAAGATTAGATAAATTGAGCTTTAGTATAATGAGAACAGAACAAGCTAATAACAATTGACGGATACATAAAAGATATGATCTAAAATTATTCAAACATATAAAAAAATTGACACAGGAGTATGATGAAAACAGATGAAGATGCTTTAAGCCCAAAAAAAAATACCAGGCACTATGTCTTGACGTAGATTCCCATACATAAGTGATGAATTGCGGTCATTAAAAGCCTTCAGTGGAAGCATCTTAATGATAAGCAATGGGCAAAGGTGCTCAAACAAAGATTGCTGCATTTCTACAAACTCATCATTGGTATAGGTTCTATTCACCCACCTTGATAACAAACTTTCATCAACTCTGCAACAAAGAGGAGACTGTTTAGGGCAAGGAATTAATACCACCATAAAAGCACAACTTTGGGTCTAACCTTATTTGACAATGACTTGCCTAACATAATGTCAAGCACATACAGACATACACTATTTTACATTTTCACTATCCAAATGCAGAATCTGTATAGCTATAAATGAGAAAACTATACTCTATGCCGTCTGAAATTGTTTTCCTTGTGCAAAAAAATTCTATATAGGATCATCATAAACCAGTGCGTAACCATTACATGATCAGAATGTTAATACTTGAGACAAACAACTCTGATTCATTTAATAACGTGAATATTATGCTCTTCAGATAGATGTATAAGATTAAAATGAAAATCCAACTAACAAGCAGGGCTTCAAAAACCAACCACATAAGAAAGTAGGTATCAAATTTAAGGTTATTCATGCAAAATGAAAGTCGAGTTCACAATACAGTTGCCCTAAAACACAGCTGTTCAGACTTTCTTGTCAGCTTTCTTCCAAAGGGGATACTGATGACAACTTTCAGTCTCATTTGCAATTGAAGTAAAATTCTGCCAATAGCCTTGACTTTGAGACACCACCCTAGGTACTGTTAATTATTCAATTGCTCCTTTTCAATAAAATCACACCAACCAGGCTTAACAAGTAAACATAGCTCTTATTAAGCATCTGATCAGGGCATCACAGCGATAACTCAAGGTCACACAGGTGGCTCTCTGGTGCTGAAGATTATGTGCTCAAGATCAATTACGGGCAAGCAAAAATATATATATTATATATAAGAGTTAAATTATTAGTCCGTATACTCACTCCTTCTGTCCTCTCACATGCAGCAAAACCTGATGCAAGACTAAATCAGTAGCATCAGACAGATTTTCACTTATATAACTCAAGAATCTGACAATAACTGCATTTGAGGGATCTGCAAACATCTTGTCTATCAATGGTCCAACCAAGAAATTCCAGTCTCGAACCTGTTGAAACACATAACATCTTAAGGTACATTTATTCGAACAATCTTATCAACTGAAAATGCAAATTACAAAGACAAGATAATATAAAACTGCTTAGGACCCAAAAAAAACTAATACTGAGCCACAGTGTGTGTGTAGGAATTATTATCACATTCCTGAGAACTTAAGTATATTAAAGTTATCAACTTCCATAATACAGTTGCACTTGCATTTGCAGATCTAGCAATTCAGAGATACATAACAAGCCAGCAAAATAATTGCAAACCAAGCCAAAATGGGAGTCAAGCTCAAATATCAACTTCTCCTAAAGTAAGTTTGTTACACTTAATAGGGCTTTATCAACACAGTGAATGACTACTCATTAAGTATTGAGTTTCTATACATTCTGCGTAGATATGAATACTTATGCATGTCTAAACAAATGGAACACACTGACTCAAAAGTAAAGTACAAGATGATAAATCAATATTGGTCACCTATTTGTTGATCATGCTCTTACAATGCACATTGTAAAAAATGGTTTGACATAGCCATTATAGAGCCATATATGTAATTTCATTATCAATCTTACACTTTTAGACCACTCTGGAGTGAGCCTGAGTACTCGGTCAGTGTCCAACTTTGGTCCTGCTAGCAATAAAAAAGCATGAGAATTAAATGGTTGCTGTGTTCCTGGCGACAAAACAGAAAATAACAGAAGACTAAAGCGCGTAACTTAGATCAATTGCTCAATTTTATAGCCATAAAGTTCAAGGCAAAAGAAATGGTGAGGTCTGCAGCTATAACATGACACACAGATACATCTCAATGCTATTATAATGAAACAAGACAAGCCGGTTCAATCAAAAAACTGCTCAGAACCAGTCAAAGACAGGTATGCAGATTAAAAACTGTAAATACCACACCTCCTTTTTTTGGCCCCCGGTGGGGGGGGGGGGGAGTATGGGCCTGTGCAAAAAGCTCATCACTTGAGGCCATCAATTAGCATGGTTCTTACCCCCCTGCCTTCCTTGCTCTTTTGTACCCCCCCCCCTTCCAACTTCACTCTTATATCTAGAAGGGACACTTTTTCCCTTTCGATTCCCTACTTCTATCTTACATATCAACACCATTTTCTTCTCATTCTTCTTTCTCGTCATCATCCTCTACTTTCTTGCCACAAAAGAAGACAACAAAGGCCAGATAGGGCGCACCAACTTATCAATATATTGTAAGAGACTAGGAGCCTTTCTCTGTAATTATTTTAATCCGTGTGTTTATTAGTTAACCCTATGGTTAAGATAGAATCTTAGGAGATCACTGCCTTTAGGTTTGGGATGTTTTTTAAATGCATTTATTGGCCTACTTAGGATGGCTCTCTCTACTTGTACATAAATAGTGTGTGATCTATATATAATAAAGAAATGTGATTTTAAAAAATATACGGGGAATATAAGCCACAAAAGTGATAAAATAACCCAAAAAAAAAACCTCTAACAATAGATTTGCTTTGAATTTCCCATATGTAATATAATAATCAAAATATTATAAATTAAAACATTAATTTAATTATGACCCTATTTGACCATGATTCGACCATAGACCAAACAATTAAATTTGAACCAATGCCTCAACTAGCTCAAAAACGAGTCTAGTTTTAAGAACACTCATATACATACATGATAAACAGAGACACATACATGCACTGATTTACATATATAAGCAAGGATTAACAGACATCAACATACAACGTAATAGTATCATCATTTCCACCAATCTGAATATGGAATTACAATAATTATGTACAATATCAGGTCAATGTCATCATCTTTTATTCAGCCATTTCAGCAACTACGATAATTTGAACAAACATCTATGCAGACATAAGCAAAACAAGCTCAGTAATGGGCTGTCAAAATGTGAGGCCGAGAAAATGAAAGAAAGAATGCACCTTTACTTTCTTCTGCCTCTGGAAGATCTACGCTTTGGCTGATGCTGCTGTAAGGATGAGGAGGTAAAACTTAAAACTAGAAAAACAATAACATATAAATGCTACAAAATTTTTGGCTTTGTAAGTTGACCACTGCAATTTTAACGGAAAAGTTGAAGAAAACAGGAAGGGGGAGGAGAAGAATACCTAAGGCAGTCTAGCATTAAAAATAGGGCATCGTTTCTCTGGTTGTGAAATTTCAGGACCCTAATAAGGGCATCAGTAGCAGATGATTGTACCCTCTCAACTGGAGAGTAAACAAGCCTGACCAATGTCGGCAAGTGCAATGAAGGGTCTGCAGAAGTATTTCAGCAACTCATAGGCGCCACTAATCATAATAATAGAATTGTTGAAAAAGAAAACAGTGATCCAGAATCAGACCTATATGGGTCAAAATCACATGCAGCACATCATAAATATTGAGACATGCTGAATCATTTAGTTGTGTAACACATTATCAGAACCCATAATGCAGGAAAGGATCAAATCAACATGATTATATTAATGCTTAAATATATACCTGCAAGAATGATTCATGTCGCATGTGAAAATTAAGCACAGAGGAGCATTGGAGTAAAATCAAACATTAGAGAACTATTAAGCATTAGGGAAGAGGGAAGATAACAAGGTAATAGGAAAAAGAAAAAGTAGCCCAATACTAAGAACCAATTCAACATGAAATCCTGAGCTATTTGGTGCAGAAGATTACAAGTATGACCCTGATAGATAACATTTCGCAACCCAAACAACCCAGAAGGACAGATAATTACTGTTTCCACTGCTCAAGTCCCTTTCTCCCCCTCCCCCCTCCGCACGCACACATGCATATGCATAATCAAGTGCATAGGCACACCATTCAGTTTTAGGACTAACCTAAAGCTGGAAGTAATTTGCAAGCCTGCTCCCGAATCAGAATGTCTTCATCTCCAAGCCCCTCCAGCAAGTTGTTGGCTACATCTTGCCTGAAATAATCACATGAACAGATTAAAATACAAACTCCTCAAAATTCTAATAGCTGCCAGTGCAATCATACCAAGCAGAAAGTAGACAAGACTTCCGTGAATCTGTTGATATATCAATCACTTCTGATATAACATCAATGGCATTTCTTCTCTGTGAAATATTTCCAGATGAAAGACGCTTTAAAACTTCTTTAAGGCATTTATCATCTTTGCTCCTGGTGGATCATAAAGTAAATCAATGAGTAAAGAAATTACTAAATTTAAAATAAAGATCGTTGATTTAGAGAGTTATCCTTCCTAGCATCATATGAAAAAGAATAGAGTGAATACTTTGAGCAGTATTCTGCTATCAATTTAACTACAGCTCTTGCTGTACCTTCCTGCTCATCTAGAAGATGGAGCAAGAAAGGCATTACAGCGTCCACTTGACTACTCTTAATATGTGTGCCTCCAGTTGAGTGATTTGGCTTCAAGATGATAGCCTTGAAGATTGAAACCACCCCATCGATAATGTCTTCATTAGTAGAAGTCAGCTACAGGAAAAGAGAGAGAAGTAACAACCAATATGGTATCAGATTTAGTTTCAAGAGCATGATTATACAGAAAAGCAAGATAAAAAGCAAACATTCAATCTATATCAATATGTCATAAAACAGTATACATTCATATCAAATGGCAGCATCCATATCATCAGTCACAAGTACTAGACCAGGATTCCTTTTTCAAATGGCAGCATAGCAACCTTTTGAACCAGAATATCATTCAAATAAGTTGATAGCAGGATCGTCATGCCAGATATACCTTTGCCAGCTGCGTACAATTAACATATTTGAATGCCAGTTTATCTTGGGACTTGTGCAACTAAACCACATTAGCATACTAAAACTACATCATAGGATGACAGGAGAACTAGCAATATTAGTTATTGTGGAAGATTTTGGATTCCATCAGTGTCAACAGCCTATAACACTGCTAAAGTGAGCATTCATCTTTCTTCCAGATACCAAGGACTCTATAACTGCATCCAGGTTATAACAATGACAACATCATGCAAATAAAAGAATAATTCTCCAAAGGTATAGCGTCCTAGTTACTACGTTGAGATTCTTGTAATAATTCCAGACTAGGCGCAAATTTTGATTACTGGGCAAGTACATGGAAAAACAGTTGCCAGATCATATAGCTGTACAGAGGCCTTCGAGGAGACCTCTGATTTAGGTACCTGTGGTACAAGAACCCGTGATATATCCATCCCACGTTCTAACACTATGCTTTCAAATTTCTTGCTATCTAGACGTCCCAATAGTAGGCATAAACAATTCAAGAAAAACCTTCTGGTCTCCACTTCACTATCTTTCTTGTCAGCGAGCCCACTAGAATGGTTGTCCATGTAATACTGCATGATTTTAGGATATCAGCAACAAAACAACTCCAACAAATGCCATGCATGAAATAACAAATTACCATTTCAGATATTGTATTCATAATCAATCAAAATATTTATAATCAACTCAAAACAATAAATCTACTTGTACCCAATATCAGGCACCATATGCCACAAATATGAAATAAAAAATCCTACTCACTTGGGATATGACAAGTAGTGGGTATGTATTCTCTTTTGCTAACAAAGATGAAATCACCACGAAAAATAATCTCTTGGAAGAATCAAACAGAAATAGCAAGATATTTGAATATGAGGTAAACTGGAAAGTTATCGCTTCAAATTATTTCAAAACATATATAGCGAACATCTACAGAATAACCTGAATCCCAGACAGATACTGGTCTAGAAGCTCCTTGTAATGCTGCGGAAATTTCTGGTCTTCCAAGTATAATAGCCTGCTATAGTGCTTCCAGCAAGAAGAGAGTAGCAAATCTCCAGTCTTGAGAACATTAGAATCTGTCTTCATTTAGTCCAAGAAAATCAAAGTTCATAAAATATCCAGTGAAGAACTAGACATAAAATTAAACAAGAATCACGCATAGGGCGCAGAACCTGCCTTATATTGTAAGGAGCAGTAGTGATTTTTTATATCTTCAAACCATTTAAGAACTTGCTCCAACCCTTTGGCATGTAAAAATCGACTTTTTTGGCTCCACTACAGTGAATATTTTAAGAGGAGGAGAAAATAAGGCTCCATAGAAGATCATAGGACACAGCTTCAACCATGCACATGTTCGGTTTCAACGAAGTTAGACAAATAAATAGTGAATAAATTGATAACACACACTACCTCTTGCATTTAAAATGCAAATTCACAAGTCCAAGACCCGTCTTAAAATTTTTCAGAAACACAAAAACACAAATCCATCACATTATCTGTGTAAATAGGATATCAGTATCGGTAGCTCACTAATCAAGAATGAGCAAATTACAATAATTGGTTAAACTACACTTATTCAGGAAGATCAATATGACATTAAATTAAATGAGATTACAAGATATGAAAGTAATTTAACTCCTAAATCTTCACTGTATACAAAATACGACTGAAATTGCTACCTCCGCTCATTTTCTAATGTTATGTTTAGTAAAACAATTTGCTTTCTTTCCACTGGTCACTCTCACAATCATCTTCCTCTTTAAATATCATACCTAAAAATTATGAATATTATAAACTCCAAGAGAGAGATTCACCCAAGAGTAACTCAGCTATAGCCATGCAAATGGCATGCATAAAACGTTGATATTAGATGAGAATAAAAAGGTCACGTACAGCAAGCAGCCTCTGCACCAAACAAATCATCCCATCCAAATGATGCAACAAAAAATAATCCCTTCCTGTATCAGACATTGTCAAAGATTTAGAAGCTAATTTCACTTTCTTGTCACCAGTGGATGGAACCAAAGTAATCGGCTGACATGCTGCTCCTGCATCTGATTTCAACTTGTTACGTTGAGACTCAGCCATTTTGGTTAATGCTTCTGTAAGGGCCAGAAAGCAATCAGCAGCAGACACTCCAAGACGAGATGGCAACTCAAACCCATCCTGCAAAGTACTGCAGAAACCAGAGATCAAATGATGAAAAAATAAAAGGAATCACAGAATCAAGAATGAAAAGGGAACATACAGGTGCTTGGCCAGAAAAGGGGGCAAGAGGCAGAAAAGCTTGAAATTATTTAAGAGAGATAGTGGGCTTTAGTGAAAATAGAGGATAGCATATGACAACAGCAAATCCATGGAGAGGATCAGCTGAGCAAAATTAAGAACAGAATAATATTGTATCACTTGTTTGTTGATCCTTTCTAATTTCTAACCGATATAATTTTCTCTTAGCAGGATGCTTATATGGACAAAACTTGAGTTTTGTCCCCCATGTTCAAGTTTCATAGCCACATAGAACTTAGCAGGGACTAAATGCACTGATATCAAGCAACATATTTAACGGAAATGTGGTGACGAGGGGAAAGAGTGAAATGTATTAATATGGTCCTAAGTAGATGCTTAGATTTAGAGTGCAAGACATGTAGATGAGTTAAATAATAATAGAAATCTAACATAATGAGATATGGTGCAAAAACCTGTTATGATTATAGAAATGCAATAGTACCACATATGCACAAAATCAACCACTAAATAACATTTCCGTGATTCCTTCAATTTACATTAATTCTTTGAGAAGCCATTGAATACCTTAGAGACTCCTTTGGCCAGAACCTAGGACAAGACTTATTAGACGTGAAATTACCTTCCTTGAGAAACAATGACGGCCAGATGTGGCAGGCAGGTGGAGATTATCTTTATTAACCCATTGTACCTATCCCTTATCCCTGCCATCCAGAAATCCATTAATATCCAACATGGAGAAGCAAATATTAATCATGAACCCAGAAAGTAATAATAATAAAGAAAGAAGCCTCCTCTTAACATCTCAAAATGATTTTCTGCTCCGTAAGTTATTATCAAAACGGAATTAAAAACTTACCACTAAAAGGAGATTGACTAATAGTATTATCGTAGTCCACAAGAGACCGCACAAGTACACACCATCCAAACAGTAAATAACGATCATTCTTCCTTGTAATGATGTTAGCAAGGCCTTTCGTCAAAGGTTCAAAAAGCAACTCATCTTGATAGAGCCAGTTTATCAGTATCACGGCTTGGCCACCACGCTTAGAGTCTTTGGAGTTCAATGACTACCATCCATATACAGAATATAAAACATAATTATGAGTGCGATTCGGATTAATGACATAATACTATAACAGAGCTTCTAGAAACTCTGAAGTTGAAAAACTTGAAAAGAATAGCGACTTCAATCTAAAAAACGTATCAGAAATTGAGTACATTTTCGATCATGGGAACGAGAACTTGGTCGAATGAATCCTCCTTCTCAGCAGCATCCGTTACATACTTGTGCAAGAACCATAGCGACTCCTCCAATGAACCTGGAAGAATGAAAATCAGTGAGGGAGAAGCAATAAAGTAACAAGCTCTCAGTGCTTGAAAAAGTACCGATTGAGGGTCTTTGGGTCAGTGAGGAAAGGCGGAAAATAGCGTCCTGGAGCTTTTTGGGTCGAGCACAGAGCAGAGTACTCACGGCACGCGCGAGCGTCACGGACACAACAGATTCCGATTCCGGCTCCGACTGCCATAGTAAATCCTCCGTACATCCTTCCATCGTGAATGACAGTTTCACTCCTAGGGCTTTGGCGGGTCTGCCTCCAACGGCACTGCCCGCGAATTGGGCTTTTATTTCCTTACTTTAATAAAGACTTGTACTCCCTCAGTTCTTTATTATAAGAGACATTTGATACTTATAGCATATTCTTATATATAAGAGACACTTACAAGTTGTCTCTACTTTTTTGTGTTGATTTACTATTTTACCAATATTTATTATCTTCAACTCACACTCTTCCTCCCTCCCACTTCTCTGTCTTTTAATAATTTAATTGTTCTCTCTCATGTTCTCTCTCTTTATTAATGAGGGCAGTTTTGGAAAAAAATTATACTTTTTACACATTAATTGTTCTTAACTAATTTTAACTGTTTTTTTTATCAACGTATTTCGGTTATTTGTTTCTTATAATAAGGAACGGAGGGAGTACTATTTAGGCAGAACGAAATTAAAATGGAGATAAATTTGAGAAACTAAATGTTGTTTTTAATTTTTAATATAAAAATTACTTAACTAATTTGAATAAATTAAGAAAATTTGTTAAGTTAATTATTTATAATAAATAGTACTCCTCCGGTCCTTAATATAAGACCCATTTTACTAATTTGATTAGATTAAGGAAGTTAGGTAAGTTAGTTAATTATAAGAAATGTGACACGTTTTTCCTAAAATATTATAATCATCTTTCTTAATACCCACTCTTCCTCTTTTACTTGATTATGGTTGAGGGAGTATCCATAAGGGTAATTTAGAGAAAATTGATAAATATGATAAATGGATCTTATATTTAGGACCAAAATCAACTCAATAATTGGGTCCTATATTAAGTATCGGATGAGTATTTTTTTTAGAATACTCTTATTAATCATTTGTATTAGTTAAAACTATCATATCATGTGTATTACTTAGAACTATCATTTAATGGAACATTTAATCTATGCAACTATTACAATAATGATTTTAGAAAAATAGATAAATATGAGAGAAAAATTGGATTGGAATTTTAAAATTAAATTGAAGTCAAACTAGCTTTTATATTAAGGACCATAGGTGATACTATATTAGCCCTGTTAATTTCATGTTTTTAGACATTTAATATAAAATTATCTTAATACTGTTCTTATCATTAATATAAGATATAATTAGAGAGTTGATAACACTCCTATATATAAGACTTATTTCATAAGTTTATCAATTTTTCTCAAATTAATCCCATTAATATTCTCCTAACAATAATTAAGCATAAGAGTACGGAAAAGAATTAAGGAAGATGTTTAGAGTATTTAAAGAAAATATTATATTAACTAATTTAACTAATATAATTAATCTATTCAAATTAGTTAATTAAGTCTTATATTAAAAGCTAAAAAATATAATATTTAGTTATTTAAAATTATTTGAATTAAATCATGAGAGAAGAAGTTGTTAGAAGTTTACTCATTAAAACTAAGCTATGAGAACAATATTTTTAATTTTTAATATGAATATACTACTATAGAAGTTTACTCATTAAAAACGTATTTAAAACTTTTAATCAAGTACTTTTAATAATCTCAAGAATTGAATTAATCAATAATAAACCATATTTCTGAGAATGAGGCTTCGAAAAGTTCCCGAGCATATCATAAGAAGGAACCGTCGATCTTATAATAAGGCCGAAAAAACGACCTAGATGCATCCAAATCCAGACTCTTCCTTCGTCTCAAACTGTTTAAAACATGCCGATTTTGTGAGATAAGCGGATGACAGTTTCAATGACTGCTCCGTGCTACTCATGCCTATCATATAATGATGAAACTAGTAAAGAGGTGTTTGGATAAAAACTAATAGGATGTTTGGATGGAATTAGAATTATGATTTTAGAAGTATTTTTTTTCGTATACGAAATAAATATATGGAAGAATTTGCTGTATTTTGCAGAAAAGTTTTCTGAGAAGCACTCTCAAATGTTTCCAAATACCCCCTTAAATCATACTACCTCCGGTTCTTAATATAAGACTCTATTTGACTTTTATTTTGGTCCTAAATATAAGACCTCAATTTACTTTGTCTCTCGTATTTATACATTTTTTTTCCAAAGTAGCCCTTCAACAATGATAGTTCTAGTCAATATACTTGATTAGCAAGGTTATTTTAGGAAAGACAACACCTATTTAGGACAAATAACTAACTCAACTTGCTTTCTTAATCTCTTCAAATTAGTCAACTGGCTCTTATAATTAGAACAGGAGGTAGTAATTTTAAAAATAATGTTACGATATACAAACTAAACATGTGGAAGGGTGTAATTCAATTTTTTTTATAAAAAAATGCTTTTAGAAAGCATTCTTAACAATAGCCAGATACCCTCTATACGTAGAACTAGCTCAACAAAACGAGGAGGGAATGGAGGAACATGCGCTGCAAATTGATTGGTGCAAAATTCTAAGATCCCCGCGCAATCACCCGTGAGAATCTACATATACGAGTAGAGGGCCCATCCTGATTCCATTGCTGGACAAAGTTCTCTGTAGATACTAGAATAGAATCGATTTCTCAGCCTGCAGTTTGGCTGTGACATTAGCGCTAGACAATCAATGCATCCATGTTGTGCTTTTGAAGCTTAAAGGAAAGTCATGACCATAGAAAAAATAGTTCAGAACGACGTCAACACCATTTCAATCGTCCTTCTAATATAAAGCACACTACGACTGGGATGAGAAAAAGACTCGCAGCCTCTAACCTATAAACCCAAAGAAACTAGGTAATTACCAAGAATATGGACAAATAGTTCATCATCTACTCAGATGTTCACTTCCTTACGTCACGAGAACCATCATCATCAACTCATCAACGGATCATTCTCATGAATAAGGTGGGTTTTCCCTTCAGGCCAGTCCACTATTGCCTTACATTATGTACGCAGTTCTTAGCAATTCACCTCCACCTCCTCACCGCAATCAAATCACACAAAAAGAATGACATTTGACCAATGAGGAGAGACCTAGATCACCACAACAAACAAGGGGGTACATGGCTTGAGGTTTATATAAGTTGATAGCATTGATTCAAAGGACACTCAATGTTGACAACGTAAAGAAGGAAGGACAAGGTATAGGAGCCCACCAAATTTTAATATAGTATTTAGACAATTTCTCTTTAGATTAAATCTTTTAATCCATGTCAAAAGTTAAAAGCTAGAGACTAACTGTGATAATAAAACAAAGTAAAAAAAATGTTATCAACAAAAAAGAAAAAAAGGCATAGGTATTAAGTTATAAACTGAGACACGGTATGAGCATCTACAAAATTAATTTTCTCTTAATCCCAAACACATTTTGCAGTATAAATAAAATTCAAACCTGTGTAAGCTCTGACACCAAATTTGATTAACAAATGTAATTTTTTAATCAATGATTAAATGTTTAATCTAGAGAATACAACATTAAATTGATCGGGAAACATAATTTTTCAATCACCAGCTAATTCGTGAGCTTGTTTTAATGTTTTAACCCACAAACCCGTTATCTGATATAAATGAGATTTAAACTAGTATTGGTTTTGATATCAAACTTCAAAAATAAAAATGTTCTGGCAAAAAAAAAAAGAGAATAAAAATGTTAACAATCATCTAATACCAAATTTGACCAACAAATGTAATTCTTTGATCAACAATAAAAAAATGAGAAATATAATTCTTGAATCAACAGTTAATTCATTCACGAGCTTATTTTTATTTTACCATAGAAAGTAAGATTTAGCTAACAAATATAATTTTTATATAATCTATCAATCAATGGTTAGCCCACAAAGCGATGTAAGTTGGGTTTAAATTATTATAGTTTTTAATACTACTACTGTATTAAGTATAAGATATCGTTTATAGAGTAATTTACATTATAAAAAAAGTCTTATATTTAGGACTAGAGGAGTACTAAATTTTAGTAAGAAAAATTTCAACCATCATGCTAAAATTTAAATAATTAACAGAGATTCAAAATGAGACTCACATGCACTCTATTTCCTAACTCATGAACATCTACTGATAATAAGCATAAGAACTAGTTGACCGATTTGAATAGATTAAGAAAATAAGTTAAGTTATTATTTGTTATAAAGAGACATTGCCTTTCATAGAATATCCTTGTTAATAAGTGTATTGGTTATAATTATTATTATTAAAAGGATTATCTTGAGAGAAAAATATATAAATACGAGAGACAAAATGGATTAAAGTTATGTTTAGGACCAAAATCAAATCAGTTTTTATATTAACAACTAAAAGTAGTACTCCTCTGGTCCTTAATATAAGACCCATTTAACTAATTTGATTAGATTAAGGAAGTTAGGTAAGTTAGTTAATTATAAGAAAAGTGACACATTTTTCCTGAAACACCATAATCATATTTCTTAATGCCCCATCTCCCTCTTTTACTTGATTATGGTTGATGGAGTATCTATAAGGGTAATTTAGAGAAAAATGATAAATATGATAAATGGGTCTTATATTTATGATCAAAACCAACCCAAGAATTGGATCCTATATTAAGGACCGGAGGAGTATTAGATTGGTTTTTTTTTTTTTGGCCAATGATTAGATCAGTTCAATAAATTAGCAAAGAGGCGCCAAAGATTTTATTGATTTAATTGAATTTGACTGAAAATCAACCTATATCCTACGTCCGAACCCCCATCATTCTCAGGATTCATGATTTCACCATCTCATGCTTCTCCATCAGCAAAATCTACTTGAAGAAAAAACCCTAACCTGCTTCTTCGACTCAGCTCCTCCGGCGGCTCTCCACTGGCCCAAGCTTCCTCAAAACTCTTTGAATATTTACGGCTTCGAACGGGATTGCAGGAACATTTGCGAACTCCTCCTCTCTTTAACTCGCTCAAGGACTGTTCCTAAGGGATTCCAGCTCCATGCCCATATCATCAAAGTAGGTATCCAGACCATCCCTCTTATATCCCACCATCTCATCAACCTTTATTCAAAATCACAACTACCCCTCTTTGCCCGTCAAGTTTTTGAAGAGGCGCCGCACAAGTCAAGCACCACTTGGAGCTCTGTTATTTCCTCATTTGCCCAAAATGAGCTTCCTTTACTTGCTCTTGAATTCTTTCGTCGAATGCTTCACAGTGGGGTTCGGCCTGACGACCATATATTCCCCAGTGCAACTAAGTCGTGTGCATTTTTATCAAGGTGTGATGTTGGGCAGTCTGTGCACTGCCTTGTCGTGAAGACTGGGTATGAATTTGATTTGTTCGTTGGGAGTTCAATCGTTGATATGTATGCCAAGTGTGGAGAGATAAGACTTGCTCGGCAAATGTTCGATGAAATGCCTGAAAAGAATGTGGTTTCTTGGAGCGGGATGATATATGGCTACACTCAAATGTGTGAAGATGATGAAGCTCTCAGACTGTTCAGGCAAGCATTACTGGAAGATGTGGATGTCAATGATTTTACATTGTCATGTGTGTTACGGGTTTGTGGCAGCTCAACTTTGCTTGAATTGGGGAAGCAAATTCATGGACTATGCTTTAAGACAAGTTTTAATTCATCAAGCTTCGTGGGCAGTTCTTTGATATCGCTGTACTCCAAGTGCGGTGTAGTTGAAGGAGCTTATCAAGTTTTTGATGAGATAATCATTAAAAACCTTGGTATGTGGAATGCAATGCTCATAGCGTGTGCTCAACATGCGCACACAAGCAAAACGTTTGAGCTGTTCAAACAGATGGGAAGTGTTGGGATGAAGCCCAATTTCATCACCTTCTTATGCATACTTTATGCTTGCAGCCATGGAGGATTAGTAGAGAAAGGCCAATATTACTTTCAGCTCATGAAAGACTATGGTATTAAACCAGGGGCCCAACATTATGCCTCCATGGTAGATTTGCTAGGTCGTGCTGGAAAACTGAAGGAGGCAGTTCAGATAGTTCAAGAAATGCCCATGGAACCAACAGAAAGTGTTTGGGGAGCATTATTGACAGGTTGTAGAATACACGGGAACAGTGAATTGGCATCATATGTTGCTGATAGAGTTATTGAGTTAGGTCCTGTAAGCGCAGGTCTTCATGTCCTCTTATCTAATGCTTATGCTGCTGCTGGAAGATGGGAAGAAGCAGCAAGAGCAAGGAAGATGTTGAGGGACCATGGAATAAAGAAGGAAACTGGTTTGAGCTGGGTGGAGGAGGGAAACAGAGTTCACACATTTGCTGCTGGGGATAGATCTCATGTGAGAACCATAGAAATATATAAGAAATTGGAGGAATTAGGAGAAGAGATGGAGAAAGCTGGTTATGTAGCAGACACATCTTTTGTGTTGAAAGAAGTGGATGGTGAAGAGAAGAATCAAACAATTAGGTATCACAGCGAAAGGTTAGCCATAGCATTTGGCCTTATAATTTTCCCTCCTGAACGACCCATCAGAGTAATGAAGAATTTGCGTGTTTGTGGTGATTGCCACACTGCAATCAAGTTTATAAGCAAATGCACTGGAACGGTCATCATTGTGAGGGATAACAACCGGTTCCACAGATTTGAAGATGGAAAATGCACTTGTGGAGATTATTGGTGATCGTCAAGATTAGTACTGTCAACAGCTATGCTTTGGAACGGGAACAACATAATCATGACAATCAAAATAGATTATTCATTCATCTCATCCTTTGTCACTGTTTTTTCCACACAAAAAAAATTATTGTACATATTGTACTACAATCTAAGAAGTGAGACTGAGATTCAGAACACCTTTTTTTTTTTTTTTTGCCTGAAGATTCAGAACACAATTAAATATAAACTTTAACCATCTGGCCTTCTCCTTTCTTAAAGATAAAAAAGATACTATGTGGAATCCACTGCTTTTAAGTACATGTATGGCCAAGAACCTGAGATGGTTGAGTGTGGCAAAGAACACTATGACAACTTTTAAGGATGTGGTGGATGTACCATATTTCATCCTCGCATTTGTGTTCATTCTGTATGAATCCATCTATTCAAAAGCTTGCCCATTGAGAATTCAAATCCTAACGACAGACTATTTTCAGGCCATTGTTGCTAGTGCATTTGCAAGTTACAAGAAGGTCATGGCAGCTGCATCATCTGTGTTGCAGATACTTCATCTTATTATGACCCTTGGCATATTTTCCCTGGGTATTCAAGCTTAGTTCACTGTTTCTTGTTTAACCGTGCGTCTGGGTTTAATTCTTTGGCCAGTGCTCTCCTTCCTTGTTCAATCTCCTGCCTTTTGCTTCTAAATTATTTACAGACGACATCCATGTTTTGCAACGTATAAGAGTTGGCATCCCGCTAATATTACAATGGTTATAAAATAAGAATAATATCATATGCTTGTGTATTCTTGAGCAAAATACAGCAACTGATTTTCACGTTTCTGTTCTGGCTGAGTAGTATGTTGCGGTGACTAAGCCCATTAATACTCTGGCGTTTGTTTTTGATGGCATTGACTATGGCGCTTCAGATTTTACATGCTGCGCTTGCTCCTTGGTATGTGTGGAAGATCCTTTCTTAGTGAATGACAGCGACAATCTTTAACATTTCTTCGGTTCAAAAATTAGGAGGAAAAGGCAACATTTATGAAAGTTTTAACATGCATTTCCCGAACTGCTGAAACACATTCATCATTTCTCCTTTTCTGTGCATATCTGTCTGTGTTATGGCTAATAAGTTTCCTATTTCTCCGAGAATATGGTGGCAATAGTGAGCATATTTTGCTTATTCACGTGATCCTCAAGCCATGGCTTTGCTGGTATATGGATCGCTTTGTCCATTTATATTAGTTAACGTACATTCGCTGGATTTTGGGGGGTAACTTCTTCTGCAAATAGAGTGTTTTGGTGTTACAAAATCTGAAGAAATCACCTTATCACTTTTCTAAGTGAAATAAAACTATAACGGAGGACTAAAAGGATGGACTCCATTAATGGGTGTTATATTGCAGGCTAGGTTCTCTAACCGGCCCTTGGAGGTTCCTCAAAGAAAATTCTGCACTACTGGCTCGGTTTTGTGAACTTGTTTAACCATCATAGAAATTTTGGAGTAAATAGGCCCACCATCAAGGACTTGAATAGATTCTCATGCCCAAAAAAAAAATGTATAGATTCAAATCACTTTTGCCCCCGTATTGTTCCTCATATCTTGTCAAAGGGAAAAATGGTATGTTTTTACGGCCTTGTAAAAGAAGTAAAGCCATTAACAGCTTAGGAAGGTAAGATTTTGGTTTAGTTATTGGCTGTCAAGTTTTAATCTCGGTATCTTCATTTGGTGCCGAAGGGGGCAACAATGTTTAAGATCGCATCATCTAACCTTGATTTTTTTTTTGGGCCAAAAATTTTATTGAATCCAGATAATAAGCAATTAGATATCCCAGGGATAAGCTCAAAATTATCGGTGATATGGTAGCAAAATCGTATTCAGACCGTTGCTAAAATAATAACAGGCTCCAAACTTATAATAGAAAAGATTTTTTTTTTTTTTGGCTATGCATAGTTATTTTTCTGTTACATTAGAGAATAACGGGTAATGTCTTGTTTCTATCAAGAGACATAAAAGGAGAATAAAAATATTCGTTGAAAGAGATCCAAGGCTATTGAACTATCCATTATTATTACTTTCCTATACCTTCTGCAAAAGCAAGGCAAGAACGGGAACAATCAAGAAAATGAGATGTGAAGTGGGAAAAGGGATGTCCTTGTTGTGAGGCTATTCAAGTAAATTCCCGTGGGATAGTAGGATTCAGGGAAAATGCCCCCAGCTTTACCATTGATGGTGATTTCAGGGTCACATCAAGAACAAAACAAGACGTATACAGCGGCAGGTCACATTGAGTTGAAGTGCCAGAGTTCGTGATAGGAACCACATAATATTTGCAAGCATCACTCAAAGCTGGCAATTTTTTTCCCTCGCTGCTTTTCTTCCCAAGCTTTTTAGTTAGTCTTCTCAGTTCTCACCTTCCTTTTTCGCCTTTCCCCGAGCCGTCCATCTACAAGAACCTGTGCTCTATATTTAAACATTTGCGATAACATAAAATATGTACTCCTCCGGTCCTAATTATAAGACCCAATTGATTTATTTGAGGAGATTAAGGAAGTAAGTTAAGTTGGTTATTTATAATAAATAAATGTTGTCATTTCTAAAATATCCTTGCTAATTAAGTATATTGGCTAAACTATCATTATTAGAAGGATTATCTTGGAAAAAAATACATAAATATAAGAGACAAAATGGATTGGGTCTTATAATTAGGACCAAATAAAAAGTCAAATTAGTCTTATAATAAGGACCGGAGGAGTACATAATTATGCCAAGTGGTTGCTGCTACATTGGCTTCCGAGAGTGAGTTGACGCGTTTTTTTGGGGTCAAAAGGGTGAGTTGACATGTTTGGAGCTCAATGGGGAAATTCCAGCGTCACAAGTCCACACGACATACAGCGAATCATTTTTTTGAGTAAGGGCCTGTTTGAGTGCTCCAAAACCGTGGTTTCAGAAGTACTTTTCTGCAAAATGAGGTAACCTTCCTCCACATATTTACTTCGTAATCCGTAAAAGCAATTCTGAAACCATGGTTTAGTTTCTATCCAAACACTCCCTAAGTTATTTTTACCAATACATAGTAAATCATACTATTCTGATTTTTAATATAAAAACTTATTTGATATTTAATTTAATTTTAAATATAATATTCTAATTTATTTTACCTATCATCTTTATCTATTTTTTTAAAATAATTCTTACAGAAATTGTACGTATTAAAAACTTTACCAAATAATAATTATAACTAATACATATTATTAGTAAAAATACCTTAATTATACTTAAATTTGACGTTCCATAAACAGCATGAGCCATTTCGAATTTTGTGTCAGCAAATAAAACTCATTCCGAATAAATACGTTAAATATGGAAGGAGTCAGATAAATCCTATTCGAGCGGAATAAATTATATACACTACAGAGCGTTACGATCCATTCACATTCCCCGCTGCCAACTCCGTAATGGCACATGTGCTTATGCCATGCACCGCCCAGTCCTACTAAAGCAAAAGTTATACCAAAGTGATAATAGGAATAAAGAACTAGAGTATTAGAATAATATATCAATAAACTTTAATTGAATGTTTACGTGACTAAAGGTTCGGTCCTTCAACATCCCTAATTTACACACTTCCCAATAATCCACAAAAATTGATCCCACACAAAATGAGAATTACCATAACCAGCATGCTGTATTTTCTTCCCCAAAACTGGACCAGTACGGAGTCTCAGAGCTTACCCTCTAGGACCCCACTAATTATGTTTCCTGCCCCCAGAATACTTGGGAATAAAGAAAAATACGGACCAAACTCAGGGTTTAGGAATAGGACTTCGATTTAATTTAATATAACGTTGCTGATCAATGAAGGAAAAAAATGACAGGGAGATGAGCTTCTTTTGAAAAGATCCGCAGCCAAAAAATCGTAACATGGAGATCATTAATCTTGTCTGAATGCCTCCCGGTGGTTGAGTCTTCTACTTTAACTCTGTAGCAACAAATTTGGAAAATGAATTTCCTCGGGAACTTCTATTATTCCTGCTTACTTCCACAGTTATTGTTTATCTTCTTCCAACACCAACAAAATTTCAAAAAGAAGAAATATAGTACTATTTACTGAAAATTTTCGGTCATCTACCTCTGGGTCAGGAAAAGTCATTTCAGTTTTGCTGAGCCACAAGATGATCAAGCTGCATTTGTTCAAGCCATGCCCCCAATACCGCATGATCCACAGGTTCGATTTGCGCACTAACATTTGATCCGTCGGCCGAGGTTCCGGCCACTGCCATGCCTGGGACACTAGCGGCCGGCTCTTTAATCTCACCTGGAGGTTCTTTGACTAAAGACTGTACCCATGATAGGTCAGGTTCCTCGCCATTGTGCCCAAGCTCAAATGAAGAAGATCTATGGAATTTACCCATGTCATCGGTGCTGACGGCCCAATCCAACTTACCGTTCGGGGAACCCCAGTTGGACCAAGAATTGATTGAGGAACCAGCAACAGCAGCCGCAGAGCTGGAGCCAAGTTCCCGAGAGCTAAGGCTACGGAATTGTTGCAGCTTCTCACGTTGAGCTAGCATAGAAATTCTGGAGCTCATCGGTGAAATAGGTTCCACTTTGCGTGGTGACATCCTTCCTGACGACTGAACGGCAAAAGAAGTCTGCAATAAAGGATGGTCAGCATTCTTGGAAGGAAATTTTGTATTGACAGGTGATAGCAAGCTTTGCTGCTGCTGAAATTGATTAAGAACAGCAGATTTGTGGGTTGGGGAGTAAACACTTGAGGCCATTGCTGGATCAGCAAATCGAGGGGAAGAGTTCTCAGCAGAAAATAGATCATCGAGATTTGAATGGGTCAAGGTCTTCATACGAACTGGCTGATTCATGCTATTAGAATTCATTGGTTGTTGAGGAAGGCAAGACAACTCATTAAGGAGCTGTTGTTGCTGAACCTCATATTCTGACAACAAATCCAAGTCTTCCACAGGAATATCTCTAGCATTATGCGAGGATCTCAAATGACTGCAATGAAGATTACTTCCAGGCAAGTGCAAAGATGGGACATTGGCTTGTGACCAAGCAGCTGAAGAGTATGGCATGCCATTGGCAGAAGGAGACATGGGCGAAGTGAATGGTGAAGGGGAAATGACAGACATAGAGGAAGGGGAGCCAGGCAACAGGCTCATAGCTGCAGC